GGTTGCGGGTGGGAGGGAAGTTATGGGGGAGATAAAGCCATTATAATCCATAAACTGTACTTTGGAAATTTATAGTCATTAAATAAAAGTTAAAAAAAGAATGATACCAAGAAATTTCCTAAAATAAACTATAAAAAAATCAAAAATGGAAATCTAAAAATCATTCAGTTAAGCCACGGAAAGATAAAGAACTCAGAGAAATGAAAAAAAAATCAGAACAAAAAATGAAGAACTGATTTCGTCATGTGAATAATTGTATCAAATGCAACCATCTATTAAAATATACAGATTGGCAAACATAATTAGAAAACATAACCCAACTATATTCTATCAGCTAAAAACTTACTCTGAATAAATCTGTCCCAAATCTATCAGTTTGCTCTTTTATGTTACTAACAAAAAACAAATCATAATTGGAAATCATTACTATCAATAATTTCGTCCTCAAGATGGCCAGGACATTCCTTCAACACTACAATTGTGAAAGGGTCAACCAATCACTATGAACACTATTAATTCACTGTGCAGAATCTGAACTACAAAAAGCATGAAAACATTGTTCCAAGAGATAGAGACACAGATTATCAATATGGTAACCTGAGTAGGTAAAAATTTTAGTGGTAAAGAAAAAAGAATAATAAAATTATAGAATTACCTGAAATTTTTCAGGATCCTTAAATTTCTCCTTATTACTATTATATTTCTGTTATATTAAGATAAAATAACTAGGGGTCGGCGCTGTAAGCACAGTGGTTAAAGTCACCGTCTGCAGTGCCAGCATCCCATATGGGCACCAGTTCAAGTCCCAGCTGCTTCACTTCCCATCCAGCTATCTGCAATGGCCTGGGAAAGCAGCAGAAGATGGCCCAAGTCCTTAGGCCCCTGCACCCACATATGAGACCCAGAAGAAGCTCCTGGCTCCTTGCTTTGGATCAGCACAGTTCCAGTCGTTGCGGCCAATTGGGGAGTGAACCATTGGATCGAAGACCCCTCTCTGCTTCTCTTTCTCTGTGTAACTCTGACTTTCAAATAAATAAATAAATCTTTTTAAAAATAAAATAAAATAACCAAAGTTATATATAATCTAAAGAATGAAGTCTCATCAAATATTAGTTCCCCTTTACAAAAAATACTGGTTATAAAAAGAATTCCATTGACTCTGAATCCTAAAATACTGAAATATAGTATGGATATTATTCAGAGTATTGAAGTTTCATGATTTAGAAGGTATACTATACACATGGAAAGAAAAGGAAAAAGCTAGAAATATAAGAAAAGATGTCTGTAAAGCTGCCATCCTTCTTTATCACTGTATCTATATTAACAGATTTACTTCATTCAACTCTGCTCACATGGTGATGAGATTCCTTATCAATCATTAAAATTCAGTAAGATAAAATAAGCACTGTCTTGAGCCCTAGGCCAATGGGAGCTTGCCTCCATTGTTCAGCCTTAGCTTGACTGGTACTTGCTGAATATACAGATCTGCTTTGCCGTGATTTCCCTTTGGTTGCTAATAACAAATTTTACTTCCATTCACTGTAGAGAGTTTTATTGTTTCCCAAATAATAACCATTTTATACAGATAATTACATAATAAATTTTACTTCACCTATAGGTAGATTGTTAAAGTTAATGCATGTAATGTTCTAGTCTGGTTGAATCCAATATTAAAAACACTGAAATTTATTCCAAATAAATCTAGTAACATTTCCATATACATTCATATAATTTATTCTTATCAATCATTAATATTTAGTTCCCTCTTTAAAAGGGAATCTGAACAATGACCAGATTATTTTTAACAATGTTCATCTTGGATGTTTAGTGTCACTTGATAACAATAACACTTTTTTCATATCTAACTTCTGTCTCAGTATTTTTAGTATTAAAAATATTTAAGAGGGGCCGTTCTGTGGAATAGCAGGTAAGGCCGCTGCCTGCAGTGCCGGCATCACATATGAGCGCCGGTTCAAGTCCCAGCTGCTCCACTTCCCATCCAGCTCTCTGCTATGGCCTGGGAAAGCAGTAGAAGATGGCACAAGTCCTTGGGCCCTTGCACCCATGTGGGAGACCTGGACAAAGCTCCTGACTCCTGGCTTCAGATCAATGCAGCTCCACCCACTGCAGCCATCTGGGGAGTGAACCAGCAGATGGAAGACCTCTCTCTCTCTCTCTCTCTCTCTCTCTCTCTGCTCGTTTGTAACTCTGTCTTTCAAATAAATACATCTTCAAAAAATTATTTAAAAAAATACCAACAACCCACTTAAGAGATGGGCCAAGGACCTCAATAGACATTTTTCAAAAGAGAAAATCCAAATGGCCAACAGGCACATGAAAAAATGTTCAAGGTCATTAGCAATCAGGGAAATGCAAATCAAAACCACAATGAGGTTTCACCTCACCCCGGTTAGAATGGCTCACATGCAGAAATCTACCAACAATAGATGCTGGAGAGGATGTGGGGAAAAAGGGACACTAACCCACTGTTGGTGGGAATGCAAACTGGTCAAGCCACTATGGAAGTCAGTCTGGAGATTCCTCAGAAACCTGAAGATAACCCTACCGTTCGACCCAGCCATCCCACTCCTTGGAATTTACCCAAAGGAATTTAAATTGGCAAACAAAAAAGCCGTCTGCACCCTAATGTTTATTGCAGCTCAATTCACAATAGCTAAGACCTGGAACCAACCTAAATGCCCATCAACGGTAGACTGGATAAAGAAATTATGGGATATGTACTCTTTAGAATACTATACCGCAGTAAGAAACAACGAAATCCAGTCATTTGCAACAAAATGGAGGAATCTGGAACACATCATGCTGAGTGAATTAAGCCAGTCCCAAAGGGACAAATACCATATGTTCTCCCTGATCGGTGACAACTGACTGAACACCAAAAAGGAAACCTGTTGAAGTGAAATGGACACTATGGGAAACGGTGACTTGATCAGCATAGCCCTGACTGTTAATGAACAACTTAATACATTATCCCTCTTAGTATTTTTTGGTCTGTTCTACTTAATATGACTGGTTTAATTCTGTAATTAATACACAGTTATTCTTAAGTGTTGAAAATTAACTGAAATGTGATCCCTGTTAAACATAAGAGTGGGAATAAGAGAGGGAAGAGATGTACAATTTGGGACATGCTCAAGCTGACTTGCCCCAAATGGTAGAGTTAGAAACATACCAGGGGATTCCAATTCAATCCCATCAAGGTGGCATGTACCAATGCCATCTCACTAGTCCAAGTGATCAATTTCAGTTCACAACTGATCATAATGAAAGGACTAAGAGTCAAAGGGAGCACATAAACAAGTCTAGTACCTGCTAACACTAACCGATAGAATAAATAAAGGGGAGAGTGATCCAACATGGGAAGTGGGATACTCAGCAGACTCATAGAATGGCAAGATGTCCTAAATAGCACTCTGGCCTCAGAATCAGCCCTAAAGGCATTCGGATCTGGCTGAAAAGCCCATGAGAGTATTTCAGGCATGGAAAGCCAAGACACTCTGGCAAAAGATCTCTGTGAGTGAGATCCCAGTGGAAAGAACAGGTCTTCAAAGAAGGAGGTACCTTTCTCTGAAGGGAGGAGAGAACCTCCACGTTGACTATGACCTTGTCTAAACAAGATAAGAGTCGGAGAACTCAGAGGGCTTCTATAGCCTTGGAAACTCATGACTGGAGCATAGGGAGATTACTAATGCCATAGACAGGAGTGTCAATTGGTAAAGTCAACAACAGGAGTCACTGTGCACTTACTCCTCATGTAGGATCTCTGTCCTTAATGTGCTGTACATTGAGATTTAATGCTATAACGAGTACTCAAACAATATATTTCACTTTGTGTTTCTATGGGGGTGCAAACTGTTGAAATCTTTACTTAATGCATACTAAACTGATCTTCTGTAAAAAAAAAAAAAAAAAGAAAGAAATTATCAATTCCCAACTTGACTCTCACTGGGATTAAACATGACAATAGGTCTGATCTGATTTCATCATCATTTAAAAAAAATCATCTATTATTTTTCACTTTATGTTTCTGTGTGGGAGCAAACTGTTGAAATCCTTACTTAATGTATACTAAGCTGATCTTCTTTATATTAAGATAATCGAAAATGAATCTTGATGTGAATGGAAGGGGAGAGGGAGTGGGAAAGGGGAGGGTTGTGGGTGGGAGGGACAGTATAGGGGGGAAGCCATTGTAATCCATAAGTCGTACTTTGGAAATTTATATTCATTAAATAAAAGTTAAAAAAATATTCAAGGGGCTGGCATTGTGGTACAGTAGATTAAGCAAGCTTTTGTTATGACAGCATCTCATATCAGTACTCAAATCAAAGTACTGGTTCAAGTACCAGCTGCTCCACTTCCAATCCAGCTTTCTGCTAAATGCGCCCGGGTAGGGAGCAAAAGTTGGCCCAAGTGCTTGGGTCCCTGCCACCCATGCAGAAGCCTAGGATGGAGTTCCTGGTTCCTGGCTTTGGCCTGTCCCAGACCTGGCTGTCAGGGACATTTGGGGAGTGAACCAGTAGATGGAAGATACATCTCTCTCTACCTCTGTCTCTGTCTGTCTGTCTCTGTGTGTGTGTGTGTGTCTTTGCTTTTCAAATAAGTCTTTTAAAAAATATTTAAACAAAAGTGTTAGAGTGTAGGTGGTAACTGTCATGATCAAAAGATGTAAAAATACATTCATTTATTATTTACTTGACCCTAAAATTCTAGGTCTGGATTTTCAGTACCCTGGCCTAGGGAAAGTTGCTATTGCTGAAATGCTGATTTATACTAGAACAAAAAGCTTAGATGTTCCCTATTAGCAGATGACTTAATCTATACAAATTACACATTTTCTATTAAAATAAACTATTATAACAGAATAAACATTAAATTATTTCTGACTTCAGATTATGGGAAAAAACTGTCAAGTTAATGTTAAATTGACATAGAAATAATTAACTGTACATTAAGAAACTGTTTAATTGATATGTTCTTACCGTTCTCGGTTAAATTTAAGAGAATGAAGAATAGCTGGCCTTTTTTGTCTAAGGTTCCACAAATGAAGTGTATCATCTGAACTTGCACTGACCAAAGCACCCTGGTACAAAAGGAAGACAAAGTAAGTGTACAATTATTTATAGAAGGAAAAAATGTTAATTTACTGAATTTTCCACAGTTAACTGTATTTATATAACCTAGAAATACAAAAAAAGGACAACTGCATATACTTCAATCCATAAGGCTAAGAATATGGAAAGTGGAATAAGCAAGAAAGCTATTGTATATGGATGGCCAGGAAGAATATCCATTAATACAGAGTCATTTTGACCATTAAAGGATTTTTTGATATTTTTTGAGGAAAGATAAATCATTTTTATTTCTTTTATTCACACTATACTATATAGCTTTACAGAGAAACAAATACCAACTCAGTTTTAGAAACTGAATACAGGTCATATGAAAAGTCTCCTTTATAAGAATTTTCTGCATAGTTAGCAAATAAATATTCTTCCTAAAAGGCAGATTTGCTTCATACAGTCCAAGAAACTCCACCTATCATAAAGGAAATCATCTGTCATAAAACATTTTTCCAACTAGAATTCAGTATAACTATAAAAATAATACCAAGCTTCTTTTTATACAGTGCCACCAAATACAAATGAATTCTATTACAGATACAACAGAATGTTTTCTACCTGTGAAGAAATCATAGAAACTGATAACTAGCTGCTAAGTATGACTTTATTTATGTGGGCAAACTATTTCACTGAACATGTCAGAAATTTCACCATAACAATAATTTCCTAGCTAAAAATGACAATCCTTGACCTATGACAGTACCTAAAGCTATTCTACTATACTGAATCTATCATCTAAATGTGAGCTTGCATAACCATGGTGACCCTGGGATTTCTAAAATGCTATTCATATTTCCCAAAGTGCTTAGGAAACTGCTTTCATATACTATTACTTTCATCACTGACATAAAAACGATTATCCCATTTATATGCTAGGAGGAACTAGACTGAAATTTCCAGCATATATTTCTTTAAGAGTTAAAAAGAGAGAAGATAGGAATCTAAATTCAGTTGTGCAACAATTCCTAAGCCAGAAATGCATATGTATTCTATTATGGTTCTCTTTATATTGTGTACCTGAGATTAATCCATAAAAATATTTTTAAGCTTGTATAATTTACATGTCTATTTTAAATGCATGAATAATATATAAGTACTATATATTAAATATATAAAAAGTAATAGACATACTCATTTAACATGAACTTAGATAATTTCATACCATGCAACAAAATGTACCTTTGTACATGCTGTCCGAATTTTTGTGCTTGTTTGCTTTTTTAACTTGTTAACTGGATTTATGTTTTCTATATACAAATTGAAACTTACTAGATACCTTGGACACACTTAATGTGGTATATATAATCGATTTTTTGATATGTAAATCTTACTGCTTTCATCTCTCAGAGGTAGTATTTCACTTGGTAAGGACAGAACATGATACAAAAATTAATAATACTTTCTGTAGAGTACACAGTTATCTGCTATACAAAAGATATAATATGCCAAAGGCAATGGAATTAAAAATAAAGCACATACATTCAATAATATCTGAGGTAATATCTGAATCAAACAAGGAAGGAGTTTAGTGTTACTAATGATAGAAACTTGTCGCCTTGCGGCGCCGGCACCCCGGGTTCTAGTCCCGGTCGGGGCGCCAGATTCTGTCCCGGTTGCCCCTCTTCCAGACCAGCTCTCTGCTGTGGCCCGGGAGTGCAGTGGAGGATGGCCCAAGTCCTTGGGCTCTGCACCCCATGGGAGACCAGGATAAGTACCCGGCTCCTGCCTTCGGATCAGTGCGGTGCGCTGGCCGCGGCGGCCATTGGAGGGTGAACAAACGGCAAAAAGGAAGACCTTTCTCTCTGTCTCTCTCTCTCACTATCCACTCTGCCTGTCAAAAAAAAAAAAAAAAAAAAGAAAGAAAAGAAACTTGTCACTGGAGGGAAGTAAACAAGACCACTGAGCATAATAGTATCAACAGAGACCAGACACACACCAGACAGTACCTCAGTAGAATGCCTAGGGATCATTTATATAAGCAAAGTGAATCTACCAGTAACACTATTTATTAAGATCTGTAAAAAGATTTCCAAGTATGAATAAAAACATCAGTTATGGGGTCAGAAAGTAAGAAATTTGGGAAAACGTACACAAATATAATGTGAGGTGTCTCAATGGGAATAGTTCTGAACAAAACCTGAAAGCGGCACAAGAATGCTGAGGGCTTGTCTTTATTCTCACTTTAGTAGGAGAGGGGCAACTTTGGGAACCTGAAGACAACTCTGAGAGCATCAAGCCCAGAGCAAATGACATGCAAGCAAATTATGCCAGCCAGTATACCTCCATGCATAAGCAGAAAGGCTGAGTGGGGTACCTCAACCAGAAACTACAGAGTACCACTGAAATCTCACAAAGGTTGGCATTCAATAATAATTACTAGTTACTACAATAAACTATTTTTGGAAAAATCTTTTTGGTACCATATATTAAGTGTGTTTTCAAGGTGATATAAGTTTATCAGCAGAGTCTCAGAGCTTTCTGGGAAAACTTTTAAATGAAGCAAAATAAAAAGCGAGTATTTGCAAAATTGAGAGTTTTTTCTTGCCTCAGGTAAATCTGACACGAAGTTTTATGAGCCACTTAGAGTTTTTAATTCCTAGAAAGACATGTGGATAGATATAAATATTGATATATGAAAATTTGTGCCAAGACTAAATAAAAGATCATCCTCAGGCCATAAGAAAATAGTGAAACATTTTTTTTTCAAGGTACTGAATTCAATCTTCCAAGTGCCTGAATGTGGCATGGCACAAACTATTGAAGCATTTTGTATTGTCTGCCTCACTTAAGACACTCCAAAATCCACTCTAAAAATCTGAGTCAGTAAGGCTCTAACCAGCCTTCAACCATTAAAGATCTGTAAACTTTCTGACCTTGATAAATATATATTTTGTTTCTAGACACTTTCCCATCACATGGTTCATAAAAATTAGGGGTAGAGAATTAATTGTCAAAATACCAGTAAAAACATAAATACAAATATCTGTATCAACAAGTATATATGAAGATAAAAGATAATGCCTATACAAATAAAAAAGCCCTTAGGTAAGTAAATAAAAATATTATTTCATCAAAGATAAAAAACACAAGTTTGCAATAGCTTATAAAACTTAAGTTTGTGGGAGAAGAGTAGCTGGAAGGAAAATATAAAGGCTAGTGAAGCTATAAGTTTTCTGTAAGTCATTTAAATAACCAAAATATGCTATACAGTCATAAAATAAATTTTTGCTGTAATCTTTTTCTTTTAAAATTTTATAAAGTGACAAAGATAGGGGTATAGTCTTTTAAAAAAATGTGACAATGAATAATTACATAATGTAAGCAGTTAGAATAATATTTAAAAGATTGCATCAACTGTAAGTTGAATAGCCCTAATGGAAATCCAAAATTGAAGCTTTACCAGTGCTGACATGACACTACAGTGAAAAATTCCATACCTGAGTTCATGTAACAAGTCACAGTCAAAAATTCAGGCACCCTGAAAGTATTACATAAAATTACCCCCAGGCTATGTGTACAAGGTGTATATAAAATATAAATCAATTCTGTGTTTGGATTTGGTTTTTGTCTCCAAGATGTCTTATGAGGTATATGTAAATATGCCAAATCTGAGAAAACTTAAAAGATTAAATACTTCTATTTACAAGGATTTTGGTTAAGGGATACTTAACCTTAACCAAAATGTGTATGTGTTACATAGTCACAAATACATCCTTACCTCATTGATCAAGAATTGGAGTTGTAGAACAGCTGCACCACTTTCATGTTGGCAATAACAATCAACACCAGGCCTCCCAAGTCTAATGTAATAAAAGTCAAGGAGTCTAACATTTTAATTAGTGTCCATATTCATGAGTAAAGGAGATACTTATTTACCAACTAATATTTGTGCTTATCTTTATTTTTGTAAAAAAATCTTAGCATCAGTTGATGGAAATTAAATTATATATTATTTATTTTATTATTGTATACAAATTAGTATATTAATTATGTTTACAACTCCAGAAGTTTGAAAATGAATGATAGTAAGGAACTGAAAGGGAATAGTTTCCTTTCCATGCTTTAAAACAAGAATTGGAAGTCCAGACATATCCCACCTTATTTAAAATTCATTTAACTCATTAAATACTCTTTTGAAAAAAACAAATTCAAAATTAGTCACTTCCCTCCCCCTCCTCATTCCCCTTCCCCTTGCTCTCCCTTTCATCTTTCAAATAAATAAGATGAATCTTCAAAAAAAAATGAGTCACTAAGATTTTAATTTAAAATTGAAATCATAGTAGTAAAAAGAAGACTTGGGTAACTGTTGATAATCTTTGTATATACAAAACTAAACTCATGGATTATAAGGAAATATTTACATATTTGAATGTATTAAAATGTAAAATTTTACATGGAAAAACACCATAAATAAGATAAAAGAAATAAATACTAGGAAATAGGAGGATATTATTAAGAGTCATTACATATTATGAAGAAAGTTAAATAACATACAAAGACGACTGAGAAAAAATAAAGGAGAAAGGACAAAAATTAGAAGACATCATGGAATAATATTTAATTACATGTTCTATATCAAATGACATAATACAAAGGTATTTGCAAAAGCTCATGGGAAACAGAATGGCATAGTAAATTTAATTTGGTGCCAAAAATTGAAATTCATGCACATTTTAATACGCATTTTCCATGAAATTTTTTAAAGTTTTTTTTTCTATTTATTTGAAAGGCAGAGTTAGAGAGAGACAGAGATAGACAGACAGATCTGCATTCATGGGTTTGTTCCTCAAATGGCCACAATGGTTGGGGTAAATCCAGGCTGAAGCCAAGTGCCAGAAACTCCTTCTAGCTCTCCCATGTGGGTGACAGAGCTCAAGCACTCTGACCATCATGTACTGCCTTTTCAGGCACATTCGCAGAGAGTCCAATCAGAAGTGAAGCGGTGGGGCCAGTGCTGTGGTGTAGCAGGTAAAGCTGCTGCCTGCGGTGCCAACATCCCATGTGGGCACCAGTTCAAGTCCCGGCTGCTCCACTTCCAATCCAGCTCTCTGCTATGGCCTGGGAAAGCAGTGGAAGATGGCCCAAGTCCTTGGGACCATGCACCCACATGGGAGACCCAGAGGAAGCTCCTGGTTCCTGGCTTCACATCGGCCAGCTCCGGTAATTGCGGCCAACTGGAGAGCGAACCAGTGGATGAAGACCTGTCTGTCTGTCTGTCTCTCTCTCTCTCTCTGCCTCTTCTTCTCTGTATAACTCTGACTTTCAAATAAATAAATAAGTCTTAAAAAAAAAAAAAAAAAAAAAAAAAAAAAAAAAAAAAAGAAGTGAAGCAGCCAGACTCTAACCCACACTCATATAGGATGCTGGAGAGGCAAGCAGCAGCTCAACATGCTGTGCCACAGTGTCAGCCCTCAAATTTTTGAAATCTCATTAGCATGTGTTTCTAAAACTTTTGTACCAATATAATCTTTTAATTCCATTTTCAATGAACTTTTTGAGGTATTCTTACATATATTTCCATTTAACATTTTTTCCCTTCCACAATGATATACATTACATGAGAGCTATAAGAGATAAATATAGGTCAGACTTACCCTCCCCATGTAACAACAGTCTTCAGATATTACATACCAGGTACAGATAATGATGATCCCTAAAAGATGACAACTATAAATAAGACATGATTGTCCCAGCAACTTTCCAGGCTGCAGCACAGGGAGGAGGAACATAGATGGAATCCATCAGGATCTCTGAGTTGAGGAGAAAGAACTAAGAGGCTGGGAAGGCCAAGTACAGTTAGAGTCCACAAGTTATGGTAGCAAACAAGAAAAGTGACACATCCTTCCTCCAGAGATCTGAAGGAGGAGTCCCCTTGAATCCTTAGCTAAGTACTGACCCAGAAATAGGTTTGAGCAAACTACCCAAGACTTGGGAAAGAGCAAACTAAAAAGTAAAAAATATCCTCCTTGAAGAATGAACCAAGACAAAAGTCAAATAACTTCTTTCATGAAGAAAAAAAAAAAAGCAATAGAGAACAAAAACAGGAGAAAGGAATCTTTCCTGTTCCCAACAGCTACAGTGAAAACCCTTAAAATTTATCCATTATGCCATATACTAAGGAGAAACTCACATAAATACTGGGGGAAATTTATTCATAGAAAAAAGGCAGGGTTCCAAGAGGGCAGAAGAACCACAGGATGGTCCGACTTCGTGGTGTGAAATTAATGTTTAAAAAGGGGAGAAAGTACACTGGTAGGACAGAGGTACAGGTTACCATCAAATGACCCAACATAGGGGTCTTAGGAGGCCCTGAAGGTGTGGAAACAGAGAAAGGTTTAGAAGGCCTTTTTGTTTAATATAAACAGAAAACTTCCCTAATTTGGAGAAAGAAAGGGACATCTAAGTACAGGAAGCACATAGAACTCCCAATAGACATGACCAGAAAAGATCTTCACCATGACACATTGTAGAAAAACTCTCCACAGTAAAACTTAAAGAAAAAATTCTAAAATGTACATGAGAGAAACGCCAGATTACATTCAGAGGAACTCCAATTAGACTCACAGCAGACTTCTCATCAGAAACCCATGAGAGAATGGCAAGATACATTCCAAGTCTTAAGAGAAAAAAACTATCAACCCAGAGTGATTTACCCTGCAAAGCTCTCATTTATGACAGAAGGTGAAATAAAGACCTTCCATAACAAACAGAAATTGAAAGAATCTGCCACCACTTGTCCAGCCTTACAAAAGATAATTAAGGATGTTATACAGACAGAAACAGGCTCATCACTAGGAAAGAAGGTGAGGGCAGAAAAACTCCCAGTAAAAGTAAAAGGAAATCCAAAGTAAAAAATAGGAATACTTATGGAAAAATGGCAGAGCCTCATCATGACTTATCAATAGTCACCTTGAATGTAAATGGCCTCAGCTCTCCAGTTAAAGGACACAAACTGGCTGGATGGATTAAAAAAGAAAACCTATCTATTTGCTGCCTACAAGAAACACATCCCACTAACAATGATACTCAGACTGAAAGTGAAAGGATGGAAAAAGATAATCCATTCTAACAGAAAGAAAAAAAAAAGCTGGTGGTGTAGCTATCCTAATATCAGACAAAACAGACTAACACAAAAACTGTCAAGGGAGAAAAAGAAAGGCATTATGCAATGATTAAAGGAGCAATAGCAATTCAACAAGAAGAACTGACTATAATAAATATATATGCACCTGCCAGCGCCGTGGCTCACTAGGTTAATCCCCCGCCTTGCGGCGCCGGCACACCGGGTTCTAGTCCCGGTCGGGGCGCCGGATTCTGTCCCAGTTGCCCCTCTTCCAGGCCAGCTCTCTGCTGTGGCCAGGGAGTGCAGTGGAGGATGGCCCAAGTCCTTGGGCCCTGCACCCCATGGGAGACCAGGATAAGTACCTGGCTCCTGCCATCAGATTAGCACGGTGCGCCGGCCGCAGCGCGCCGGCCGCAGTGGCCATTGGAGGGTGAACCAATGGCAAAGGAAGACCTTTCTCTCTGTCTCTCTCTCTCACTGTCCACTCTGCCTGTCAGAAAATAAAAAAATTAAAAACATATATATATATATGCACCTAATCACAGGGTACCTGAATATTTAAAAGAAATGTTAATGGATTTAAAGGGAGACACAGACACACATACAATAATAACAGGGGATTTCAATACCCCAGTTTCAGCACTGGTCAGATAACCAGACAGAAAATCAATAAGCAAACAACAGAGTTGACGGACTACAGACCAAATGGACCTAACAAGTATCTATAGAGCTTTCCATCCTATTGCTGCTGCTGAATACACATTCTTCTCACCAGTGCATGGAACTTTCTCTAGGACTAACCAAATGCTAGGCCATAATGCAAGTCTCAGCAAATTCCAAAAAAATAAACATCATACAAAGCGCCTTATCTGAGCACAATGGAATGAAGTTGGTAATCAACAACTCAGCAATTTCCAGGTCATATGCAAGCAAACATGGGCCAGTGCTGTGGCATAACAGATAAAGCCACCTTCTGCAGTGCTGGCAGCCCATATGGGCACTGGTTCAAGACCTGGCTGCTCTACTCTGATCAAGCTCTTTGCTACGGCTTGGGAAAGCAGTAGAAGATGGCCCAAGTTCTTGGGCCCCTGCACCTGCACAGGAAACCCTGAGGAAGCCTCTGGCTCTTGGTTTTGAATCAGCCAAGCTGTGGCCATTACAGTCATTTGGGGAGTGAACCAGCACATGGAAGATCTTTTTCACTCTGTCTCCACCTCTCTGCAACTCTGTCTTTTGAATAAAATAAATAAATCTAAAAAAATTAAGACAGAAATAGAAGAAGATACAAACAAATGGAAAAATCTTCCATGTTCATGGATTGGAAGAACCAATATCATCAAAATGTGCATAGTACCTAAAGCAATATACAGATTCAATGTTATACCAATCAAAATACCGAAGACATTGTTCTCAGATATAGAAAAAATGATGCTGAAATTCTTATGGAAACACAATAGACCCTGAATAGATAAAGCAATCTTATACAACAAAAACAAAGCCAGAGGCATCACAATAGAAGATTTCAAGACATACTACAGGGCGGTTATATTCAAAACAGCTTGGTACTGTTACAAAAACATATGGATAGATAAATGGAACAGAATAGAAACTCCAGAAATCAATCAAAGCTTCTACAACTTATATTTGGCCAAGGAACTAAAATCAATCCCTAGAGTAAGGACATCTTTTTAAAATGGTGCTTGGAAAACTGGATCACCACATGCAGAAGCATGAAGG